CGTCACGTGACCCATTTAAATTATCTGCACAAACGCGATATAATTACTTTCTGTATCCCTACACCTTTCATACGATCTGTACGATGGGCTTGGGTATTGTTTTGGGTGCTCCAATTTGTGGTATATCCATTAGCACATTCTTTTAGGGTGTTTAATTTTGTGCTATCTGATTGGGTGAGTCTTGAATTTTTCTTATTGGATAATCCATTTTATAACATTCGATTCTATCATTTGTTTCGATTGATCAATTTTACCTTTTCTGATTTTAGTAATTCGTTTCGGATCATCCATTCCTTTTTTTAGTCATATACCTAAAAAAAAGAATATATATATATTAACGAAACGAAACTTGATTCGCGTCTGAACGCTTGATTTTTAACTTTATCTTATTAAAATCTAATCGCTTGAGCGATTAGATTTTAATAAGAAGCAATAAAAAAAACTTCTAATTTCAGGCGATCCTTATAGAATGTGGAATAATTTTCTGATGACATTGAATTACTGACGAAATACGTTGTGTTATTTTTTTTGTAACCTGTAATTATTAATTTCTAATTTTCAGTTTTTACTATTGGCGACCCCAGGCAGTAAGAGATTTCATTTATCGTACTATGTGATTGATACCGGGAAACACCTGAGATTTGATTGAATTTAATATCCATCAGAAATCATGGAACTAATAGGAATTTATCTGTAATGACCCTAATAGGAAATGTGTTCACCTTATGAGATACCAAAGTAAACTTTGTATTCACTGTCACATCAGAAAGTCCAAAAAGCTAGAAGACTGAGATAGTTGATCTAGAAGGTGTCCACATAGCCACCAAGTGCAGAATCGGGCCTAAAATGATCCCGTTGTGTTTGCCGACATCAGCAAGAAGTCAACCCATTTTAACGGAAGATAAAAACATACGAGACAACCGGATGACAGCAAATTATATAAACGTCCAACCGTGAGTGTGAGGCAAAGTCCCTCACATCATCACAAGAAGAGCGAATGCTCGATGAAAAACCCTTCACGAGTGATGTTAATTTGACGAATTCCAAGAGGGAATACACATTTATTTTAGGTTTTAAAGATTTAGTTTCGTATATTTATCAGACGTTTAATAACCTATTCTTACATTATTAATCAAAGACTCATATATATATGTGTGTGTGTGTGTGTGTGTGTGTAGTAGTAGTTGTCTGTCATGCGTGCTTGTATTTTGGCGTATTTATTTATATTAGTTTTTAGGTACATGTTTATTTTTATCTGTGTGCGTGATGTAAAAATATCATTGTTACTTTTCCGACATCTTTACAAGATTGGCGCCGTCAATCAATATCCGATGAGAGGAGAAATTCTATTCTAATTGCTTATTAGAAACGCGGATATATTTTAAACGTGATCGTGTCTGGAGGCTACTTCTTTCTTTTCTAGATAAGATTGTATAATTAGCCAGTTTATTTATTTAAAAGAATTGAGCTTTTTTTTTTCCTTTTCTTTTTAAAATTAAATGAGTCCACATACAGAAGCGAAGTTTTGAACGGTTTCCACACATATATTCGCTATGAATTGGGTCAGATTTTAAGGTAATCACCGTGAATCATTGACCTTAAAGAAATTCACGTACGAAATTAATTCTTGAAATTGTCTACAGATAATTCGTCCATAGATAACTAAGAAAACGCTCTAAGACCTTTTTTCACAAGTATCAACATATCCGTAAATCTTTGATGGGCTATAATTATCTTCTCTGTTTTCCATATATTTTCGTGTATGAGTCGAATGTATTCATGCCAAATATTAAAGGAAAGGCTTGTAATTTAGCTCATATGAAAATTAATCAGGTTAACTTAGTATTATAAAAGGGTACACAAAGGGAGCTATTTGTCAGGATCAAACAAATTAGAGAATTTTTCAAATGGATCGTGTTCATTATTGCACTGCTTCTATGTGCCGTGTCCCTACAAAGCGTAAGCTATCATGGCTCTCCACAACTTCTTATCCCTTGTTGTTCTTAGTACAGAATATCGTTTTGCTATTATCGCACTTCTTTGATATACCATGTTCTTTTAGGACGTTGGCGATCATGGCTCTCCACAATTTCCTGCTCTTTGTAGTTCTTAATAAATTTTGTCTTTTTGTTACCTGTTCTAAATCCTGTTCCGCAAATTTTGACTTTTTACTATCTCTCCTCAACCTTGCTTCACACAAACTAGCTACGGAGGTTATAAGTTGTTTTCCTCTGTCCGTCTTGCATTCAATCTGCCCTGTGAGTATCAAATTTTCTAAGCCCGCTTTTCTCATTATGTACCCCAGAAATTTCAACTGTGTCGTTCTAGTGTTATGCATAAGTGATCTTTTTATTTCTATTTTCGTCGTTCCTTAAATGTTCAGTACTTGGAGTTCTCAGTATCCTTCTGTAGACCCACAGTTCTGTTGATCCAAGTATCTCCTTTATCTGTGAGGTGATAGTAAAGCATTCACTGCCATATATGGGGGGGCTGATATTGCATAACAGGTCAGTGCTCTTTTCTTTTTGTCCGTTTCTTAAAGTAAAAACGCTATTAATATTCTTAATATCAGCATTATTATTCGATTAATACCACTAGATAGTGATTTTCCAAGCGCAGCTTGGATGTGGCACAAGGCCGAAAGTAAGGGGCACCCAGTGAGGATCAAACAGGAAACGGCGAATCTTTGGTTTTCTCAAATTGAGGACTGCCAGTTAGAGTATTTTGTCTATATCCAGAAAAGGTATATTCTCAAAGGAAAACGGCACTATGGACTCATAAGCTGTAGCATTTGGATGTGGCACAATGCCGAAAGTAAGGGGAACCCAGTGAGGATCGAACTCACTACTCATTCGTAATTGTTCTAGCGAGACAAGCTTGCTAACCATTACACCACCTCGAGGTGCACTAAATACCACTAGATAGAGTGGAAAGAAAGCGATTTTCCAAGCGTAGCTTAGATGTGGCACAAGGCCGAAAGTAAAGGGAACCTAGTGAGGATCGAACTCACTACTCATTCGTAATTGTTCTAGCGAGACAAGCTTGCTAACCATTACACCACCTCGAGGTGCACTTAATACCACTAGATAGAATGGAAAGAAAGAGGGACATAAATGCCATTGTTTAAGACGAAGGGAAATGTTGAGTAAAGCTACTTTACAATCTTGAGTAAAAAAAGATGTCAGAACATGTACTTGGTAAGATTTTAAGTTTGAAAAGGGATCTTGTGGTCACAGCCATGGCAGACAAAGACATGAAGTGACAGAAAATACCAAAGAAGATAATTACCACATCTATTAGTGATATATATTACTTAGTAGACCACATGGTCATACATTGTGCCAATCAAACTTCCACATGGATTTGGGCTATCTGCCTTGAAATTCCGCATTCAGAATATTGTCTATTACTAGGAACGGAAAGATTGATTTATGCTGGGAATCAATTGGCAGCAAGTCTTTTCAGATCTTTCAGCATTGTCGTCGACTATCTCGCCAATTCTAATAAATGAGTTTTGTTTTGTTTTTTGCACTTTTAACGCTCGTCTCTTTTAGGTGATCGGCTAGCGTAATCCAATTTGTATCATCTCATTAGGTCACCTGTTTCGAGTGTCCAATTTTGTGCCATCCGATTGAGCGATAGTTTTGAGTTTTTCTTTATTGGTTGATCAATTTTATGTCATTGGATTCTATTATTCGTTTCAAGTTAGCGACGTTCTCTTATCTGATTGGGTGATTCGTTTCGGGTGATTAATTTTACGTCATTTGATTGGGTGATCCGTTTTCAGTTATCCATTTTGCGTCATCCGTTTGAGCGATCCATTTTGTATGGTCCGATCTGGTTATCAGTTTGAGTGATTTGATTGGTTAATCCGTTTGAGTTGTGCACTTTTCTGCATATAGTCTTGGTTTGCGCGGACACTTCCAAGTCGTTTGCACAGTTCTCAGGTGGTCACCTTTCCCGCTCAGATATGTGTGCATTTTCTTATTTCTTCTGAGAATGGATCGCTCAAAACAGATCACAACTTTGATCACACCCAGTTGCACTACAGATCACTCGAAACGGATCCTGCAATAGGAGCACACTAAGTTGATGGCAGTTTCTCTGTTCTACTCCACCCGCCATATTAACCTAACATCAGACCAACCGATTTTCGATCGCTTCAAAGCGCTTTGATGGCGATAACTTTCACGAATGAAAACCAGATTCAAGATTTTTGTCAGAAGATTTTTCCCTGCTAAACCTTCAGAGTTTTATTCAAAAGGCTTTCAAGAAGCTGCCTGATAAGTTGCAATAAGTCAGTGCAAATAATGATTAAATGATCAATTATTTCAAAATTATTATTATTATTTAGATTATTTGCCTTCGCACTAATATCCTCACTTTTGTTGCTGTTACAACTATATTTCGCCTACCCTTTTCCCTGCATACATGATCAACCATGCCAGATTTCATTGTTTCAATATTCCTCCAGCTTTACTCATTCGTATTCTTTGCAACGGCTGCAAAGAATGGAATTGGACACAGTTCTTGGTTACTTTGTCCTCTTCGTTAGCGTGGTCGCCAACTACAGAGAAGTTAAATAAAAAGAAGAGAACACTAGAGTAATGCATAAATTAATAAGATTTCATTTTTTGAAGATTAAAGATGATAAAAAAAGGAAATTATATAATCATTCAGTTATGTGCCATGCGTGATATGCGTTTAGGCGATCACGTATCTTTCGATACATGACTGACGAGGTAGATTTTTTTCCCGCAGTAGGTTACCATTTCTTTCTGCGGTAGATCAGTTGCAATCCAAGGCTATAGAACCCGGTCTGTCCTGCTATTTACCCATAACTGGGGGTGGAGAAGAAGAAGATTCACACCTTTCCCCAAGGTATTAGCACGTAAATGAATGTAATGGATTCGAATGGAATTCGAACTCGGCTCTCCAATTCCTACTCAACGAATACTACTAATAAATAAATAAATAAAGGTCCTAATCCTACGTCTAACGGCCACTTCACGTTGAAACACCCTTTCTCGTATGATCTCATATGATCACCAGAGTTAAGCAACGTCGAGTCTGGTCAGTACTTGGATGGGTGACCGCTTGAGAATACCAGGTGCTGTAAGAATGTGTTTACGAGTGGTGAAATGGATAATGGCTCGGAATTGTTAATCGGAGAGCCAAGGTCCAGTTCTAGTTAGGTTCCTTATATTCACTTGGGAAATGTATGAATTCACTTCTTCTCCCCAGGTATGGGTTAATTAGTAAGACTTTTTTTCACTAAAAAAGATTCTTATCTCAAAAACAAAATTCTGTACAAAATATTTAGATTTCGTCATTAAATATCCTATAAAGGTTGATATGCCGCTAAACAACAAAAAACAAAAAAAAACAAAAAAAACCTCCAACCTAATTTTGCAACAAGCTTGGCTTTCATGGCTTTTGATCTTGAAGTTGTCAATTTTCTCTTTATTAATGTCGTGGTGTCCTCTCTCTAAAGAGTCTATGTTAGACTCTTCCGCCAACTATAAGGTTAGTAGGACACAAGACTTCGGGGAACCGGGAATAGATTGTTCATTACTGTCGAACTCTCTGTCTCGGCAGAGAGGAACTCGGACGAAGATTGCCGCAGGGCAAAGTTTCATCCGGGGAGGTAGACAGTCCCTGAACCCGTTTAGGCGGGTTCAAAGGGAATATTTTTGGCTGAGCTCACGGGCTCGGAGTACCCACAATAAACCGGCCGAGTGCCACATAAATCCCTCGTGGTGGTGGTGGGGGGGGGCTGTTAAATATAACAGTGAATAGATTGAGCGCTAGTTCATTCGATACACACTCACTAGTCGTGTAATACTCTTCTGGTTTACTTACTGTTTAATATACGATATATTTGCAAACATGGTTTTTATTATTACTTAACCATTTACTTGGTCACAACAATGAATTACGGTGGACTACAGTAAATATCCTGTCTACTACAACAGGTTGCTTGTATGTTAACTCACCATAACCAAAGGGGCATGATTAGTAGTGGCTGCGGCACTGTGTATCTTCGTGCACAAATAGGAGTATTTGGGCAACATCATGGCTGGGGACGATTATTTTAGTTTGTTTTTAGTCTAAAGAATGAGTCAGTAAAGTAAACATTACGTTCATATTTAAATACTTGGGAACACGTGACGCCCCTTTGAGAGGACTGAGTTACCTTACCTGGGGATATTTCTAACTGAGCCTATTGGTTACTTTTATCAAAACCAGCAATCATATTGCGTACATTTGGCTATAAGGCATGTACCTCGTATAACCTTATCAGAACTGATGTCATGATAGGTATATTGGGCTTTGAACATTGTTACCCCAGCGTCAATTTCTTGGCGTCCTGTTCTCTTACACAATAATAATAATAATAATAATAATAATAGTTGGTACAGATAAGGATGTCAGGAATAATGTTCACCATTATTAACAGTTGATAGTATAACTTTCCATTGGATTTTACCAGATATAGTAGCTCAACTATACAAGATAAAAGATCGTATGTACTCATAAAAGCCTTCAAAGAACATAAATATTATCTTATAGATATGATTACACTGGCTGATAAAAACATTCCAGTACTTGATATTTGATAATCTCCATAAATAACAGGAATTGGAAATAGAAATCAGAAGGATGTGGCATTTAAAAACGGCCATTATTCCAAGAGGAAAGGGCGGACGCAGACATTATGAAAAACTCGGGATATCTATCTTTATCTGATTTCACTCCTATGTGGCGTGTGCGTTCAGTTCGTAAACGATTACGGCCCTCTACAATTTCCTGTTTTTTTTTTGCTAGCTCTAAGTAAATTTAAACTTTTTGTTATCACTCCTGATCACTGTTCTGCCAAACACTTACGCAAACTCCTTAGGTAGGTTTCATGTAGGAATAAAGTGTCGCTACCAACACTTGAGTTTGAACACGGATCGCCATACAAGCACAGTGGACGTCATCGTCAAATAATTAGATCCCGTGACGAGGGCGTTATTATTGTTGTATCTGTGATTTACAAAGTCACTCCGACAACAGTAGGTGACGCGCCACGTTCTCCTTGTCAATCTTGCCTTCAGTATTTCCCGTGAGTGCCAAACTTTCCAAGCCCACTTTCCTCATTATGCGCCTGAGCTATTTCAAACTGTCTCTTTCTCATGCTACGTAAATGGATAAAAAAAAATGCCGTAAATTTCAATGTGAAACAGAAATCGTATGAATATCGGCCAGGGGCAGTGGTAGAAAATGATATTCACATGATAGCTGATTTCCCGCCCCAAGCAGGCCATTTCACTGAAGATCCGACTTCATTGTTATAGAGAAGGAGAATGGCACGTCTCAAATTATTGAATTTAATATTCCTTTCTCCTCAATAAAAGTGTCTCATTTTACTTCACACTGATGATGCCATTTCTAACCTTAGGTCTCTGGACAGGACCCGGAAAGTAATGCGTACACACCTGAAATCAAAGGAAATAATAATAATAATAATAATAATAATAATAATAATAATAATAATAATAATAGAAACACTATAATAAGAGAAACCCCTCTTGTATCTTAGTGGCTTCATCTCATGGCTTTGGGTGAAATGATTAGAAAAATAAAGATATCCTCTCCATGCCCATAACAAGTCACCTCCATGACAGTCTATGGCGAGATTAGAACCCGAGTTTCATAACAAAAAAGCCTGGATACAATAATAATAATAATAATAATAATAATAATAATAATAATAATAGGTTGGTCCAAAAATAATGACGTAAGAATATCGTTTTTTGAGGTTAAAAAATACGTCAAAAAACGACATTATTACGTCATTATTTTAGCACCAACCTAATAATAATAATGGATTGCTAAGAGAATCGAATGAATAAATACGCCGTAAATTTCAATGTGAAACAGAAATCGTATGAATATCAGCCAGAGGCAGTGGTAGAAAATGACATTCACACGACAGTTGATTTCCCGGTCCAGACAGGCCATTTAATTGAAAGAAGAAGACCCGACTTCATTGTTATAGATAAGGAGAATAGTACGTCTCAAATTATTGAAATTAATGTTCCATATGATCAAAGCGTGGATTGCCAAAAATAAATAAATAAATAAATAACCCAAAAGATAGAAAAATGCTAGGATGCCTAAAGACCTGAAAAAACAATGGAATATGACTGAAGAACTAATTCCAGTAGCACTTGAAACATTACCTAGAAATGACCCTCCGCAGGTTTTGAATTCAGAGTTGTCCTTCTTCTCGACCAGTTGCCATCCAAGGCTATAGAACGCAGTCTGTCCTGCTATTTACCCATAGCATATATATATATATAATCTTGTCTGTTTATCTAAAGCTTGTTTTTTCAAAGACTATATATATATATATATATATATATATATATATATATATATATATATATGTGTGTGTGTGTGTGTGTGTGTGTGATCTCGCGTGATTGTGTGCACGCGTATATATGAGCCTATTTCCATCTATCTCAGCCTGTTTCTATCTATCTATCTATCTATCTATCTATCTATCTATCTATCTATCTGTCAGTCTTAGCCCGTTTAGAGCTATCGTATTCTTTACAGCCTAATTTTCCGTGAATTTTGTCCTTTTATCAAATGGTAATTTATCTGTCATATTGTCTAATCTTTGCCTGATGGGGTTTCTTGTTTCTTCTCAAGAAACACGTCAAATAAAATAGATTCTTATTCACAACCGAAAGATCAAAATCCAATTCATCATAGAAATATTCTCCCGCCAGTAATTTGGTACCAATTAATTCATTCTCCGCTGTTTCAAACAATTTCCATTCGAGCGTCAATAACACAACTGAGCTAAGAAAGTGTGCTTCCTATTTTATCGCCTACTTGTACATCGGACCATAAACTGATCACTGAGACAGAAATCATGACGGCTTCGACAATCGGTAATGACAGACACGTCAAATTATCCGTCTGTAATGACGAAATTTAGAAATTGCTTATATTTATTTTTCTAACGCTAGTAAACAAAATTCTACACTATAAGTAATTGCTTTTTAGCTCCTTCTACCTTTATTATTATTATTATTATTATGGGACCTTACCCATAATAACATAATGGACTATTCCATACGTAATAAATACTGCGCCTCAAGAGGAAGCAGGGAATTCAGTCCGAAGTCGGGCGACCGGCTGACCGGCTGATCGGTTGAACTCTTTGCCTTCGGGCAGGGAGGAACCCGAACGAGGCTACGCCGAAGGGCGGATTCTCTTTCGGGGAGGTAAACCGACCCTGAACCCGTTTATATGGATTCAAAGGGCATATTTTTGGCCGAGCGCACGGGCTCGGAGATCCCACGTTAAACCGGCCTTGTGCAACATGATGCCCTCGTGTGACTAAATATAGTTCAGTCCGAAGTCGGGCGACCGGCTGATCGGCTGATCAGTTAAACTCTCTGCCTTCGGGCGGGGAGGAACCCGAATGGGGATACGCCGAAGGGCGGAGTCTTTCGGGGAGGTAAACCGACCCTAAACCCGTTTATATGGATTCAAAGGGCATATTTTTGGCCGAGTCCACGGGCTCGGAGATCCCACGTTAAACCGGCCTTGTGCCACATGATGCCCTCGTGGGGCAGGGGGGGTGACTAAATACCGTTCAGTCTGAAGTCTGGAGTGAGGTCCGTCAGGAGTCTGTCAGTCAGTCAGAGCGAGCGAGTCAGTCAGTCGAGTCAGAGGCAGTCCGAAACAGAGTTGCATTCCGACAATTACTACTAAACCTGATTGTTCGTACTAACACTTTCTACTTCTCTCTATATATATATTCCTGTTTGTAATATATCTGTGTTGTTCCATATCCGCGTTCGAGTTCTTCTTTGGACTATCACCGTGGTACAAGGAACCAGACCATAACAGTGGCGACGAGGAAACCAACTCACTACGCGGAGGACATACCTTTTTTATCCGTTGCGCATAACAATTATTATTATTATTATTATTATTATTATTATTATTATTATTATTATTTCGTTGGGTTTCCGTTGTATACATATTTCTTTCCGGGTCCCAGAGACCGAAGGACTGAATAGGCTTCATGACATTTTACACTGCAAAAAATAAAAATAAAATTAATAAATAAAAAAAATCTAACATCACAAACATTTTACATATATAAAGCTCTTTGTAATGTGTGAGCAGTACTCGTGAGTACAATATTTTGGAGGAACCAGTGCCAACGCCGAAACGCGGGCTCCGTCCAAAGAAGTCCCTGCTTTGTGTTTCACGGATTATGAAATGCGTCGTTAGTCACAAGCTATTGGAATACGGAAGAATCACCACTGGATATGCGTTTATTGCCTACAACTTGATCGGGTAAACGATGCAATGCGTTGAAAGTGTCCTCTTTTCGTAGAATGTTAAAATGTGTCTTATTGAAAGATGAAAGACATTTTGTAAGAAAGTAGTAGCCAGTCAGATCGTCCCGATGGGAAGTTCTTCGACATCTTCCGTGCCACTTCTTTTGACACCCGCAGATTCTCATTTGTTTCATAAATGGTAAAACATTGAAATACCGAAAAGAACCTGGAACAACTCTAACAGTTGCCTTCCCGTTATTCTTCAACTTTTGAAAATGAAGGTGAATATATTTTATGAATAATCTAAATGAATAAACGGCAAATTCTGTCTGTGCGTCCATGTGTCTGAAATCCATCTGAATCGGGTTACACGTGCTCTACATATTATGCCTTTTTGGAATCAGGAGGATTCTTGGATTGAAAACCTTGCCTTCATCTGGTGCTTGAACATCCAGCATTGTGATTAGTGCCAGGAGGAAGAGGGAATAGTTAAAAATTCAAAAGTTAAAAAAATTCAAAACAATAGTGATTTTAAATGAGTTTAATTTACATTGAGTTTAAAGTAACACAAGAACTTTATGCATGAATTTATAAAATTTTGTTTTAAATTAAATTTAAAATATCTCCAAATCTTTGTTAAATGAATAAATTAATTTTATTTCTTTAAAATGCCAAGGAATCAGAGTTAAAGTAAGAGGTTTCGTGACGTGAGTTTTTGAAGTATCGAAGAATTTATGATTTGAAGAATTCAACCCAGTTAAAGTTCCACGGATTTTGTAATTTGAAGAACACAATTTTCGGCCTGAATTGAAATTTCGACCAAAAATCAGTCTTTTGTATGCAACTGGTCTTATAGCCTGAATCAAAGTTAAAGTGGGGTTTTGAATTTCCATTAAGTGAATTGAGGATTTCAAAAGTATTTCTTCAAAATTATCATTGCTGTGTTTTAAGCTGGACCCGAGGTCCCTTTAGTTTTGAGGCAGAGGCCCAAATTATCCCCCCCCCCGGGGGCTAGCTTGAAAATTCGCACTTCATGCGAACTTTTAAGCTAGTATTAAAATGAATTTAAATTACGTCTGGTTTCATATACATTTTGGTAAAACATAATATCTTTCAGAACACGTACAATATGCTGTCAACAAATAAAATTTAATAGTGTTGAGGATTCATTCAATTATTTAGATATGATAAAATCTCACAAATTAATCGAGTAACTGAAAGGAGCTATAATGATCTTAGTTGCATTTAACCGAGTATCGTATTTAAGGCTGAGAACTTTCTCGAAATAGTAAGTTATTTGAACAGTTACTAGCAGACTAAATTCATTAACTCACTTCCTGACTGGATTCCGAACGTTCTCACTTTTGCATACTTTTTTTTCTGTAGCTGTTTCATAAATGAATGCATTCTCTGTTAAATGACAAAGAACTTCCATTAAGAAATTAATAATTCAAAGTGTTATTGGCCCTCGTTCGATGGCGTCTCGATTAAGGGACTAGCCTCGCGAAACGGAGTGGCTCTTGCAGCGTGTTTCACTGGCCATGGCTCAAGGTAATGCTTTCTCCATCATGGCGGCTGGCAGAGGTTAGAGAAAAATTGTTTATTGTTACGTTGTTCTGGAATTGTCATCACTGGTCAACTGTAATTGTTTTGTTACAATAAATTTTAATTTGTTAAAAAAATAAATACTTTCATAAAAAAAATTAATACAACCATTTATAATTATAAATAGGTTGTGACATATCACTGAACAAACAACACATGATGAAATGAATTTATAATTCAAAACTTAAAAAGAACTCGTTTTTATTGTTTGTTGCAGAACATTCTTATTTTGATGTCGCATTCGAACGCGCATTTGAATAGCAAAAGAATGCCTTCCAAACGCTAAACAAAATACTAAGAAGCGGAAATGACGTCAAACACAAAGAAAAGAGTGCTGAGACTTGATGTAATAATACCAATCCTATTGTATAGAAGTGAATGCTAGACAATCTCACAGATGAAGATAAAACTATATCGTAAAGAATGCTGGACAATCTCATCACAGATAAAGAAGAGACTTGAGGAAACAGAAATATGATTCTACAGAATTATGCTGAGAATACCATGGACGGAACAAGACGTGTTAAAGAAAATAAAAATAAAAAAGAGCAATTATACTCAGTGTCAGACAGTTAAAATCTCTGTTTCACATAATGAAGAAAGAAGGTTTGGAAAATTTGACACTCACAGAACACATGGAAGGCCAGAAGACTGGGAAAGGTAAAGTGACATCTCCCTGACGAGCTTATGTGAATAGATAGTGAAATGAAGGGAAGCTTACTAAAGGGACAAATTTTACTGAGAACTATATGGGATAGGAGGTTGTGGAGAGCTGTCACCGCTCACGTTTTTAAGTGATACAGTACATAGAAAAAGAGTTGCAGGACGGGATGAATAATTATTTTTACGATTGATATTACCGTTTCCCTAAACAATATTTTACAAATCTGTCTCCAGTCTCCTCTTCGTCTGTGATGACCATGTCCAGCAACCCTTGCCATACAAGAGGAGGGATGTCGCATAGCAGTTCAGCAAGAAAGAAGTCACCCTGTAATGAATGAACTCACTCCAAGCAAGGATGACTTGTTTACAATTATATTTGTTTACAATTTATTTAAAATTATAATTGTTTACATTTATAATTGTAAGACATTTTTATGTTTATACATTCTTTTTTTTTATAGATACAAATATTTAAGTAAATGCTCTGTTTGTAATAAACAGTATTAACAACATATATCGACCTGAATGTCCGAGAAATTGTCATAGAAAATATGCGTCCTCCGACAGGAATCGAACCTGTATCCTATACAGAACCATCATATAGCCTGACGTACTTTTACCGATATTCTAACCACAAAAGCAGTAAAATCGACCTTGCTAACCGGAACGCTCCTCTGTGGCGAAATCGGTAAAAGCACGTCAGGCTATATGACGGTTCCGTAATAGGATACAGGTTCGATTCCTGTCGGAGGACGCATATTTTCTATTAAAATTTCTCGGACATTCATAGCGGTTAATATTGTTTATTATGAACAGAGCATTTACTTAAATATTTGTATCTATAAAAAGAATGTATAAACATAAAAATGTTTTAAAATAATTGTTTGACTTTGTCCATTTCATTTATAATTGTTTACAATATATAAGTCATCAGAAAGGGACAGTTGAAACTTCTCGGAGAGATAATAAAGAAAGAGTGTCAGGAGAATTTAACACTAACAGGAATTATTAAAAGGTTCTAAAAGCAGGAGAAAGCAGCGAGTAAACTACTTCAGGAATTTGAATGTAATGGATATCAAAACAAGTGCGAAGAGACGAGTGAGAAAGCATGAAAAAAAAGAAACAAGACACTGAAAGTTGTAGAGAGCCGTGATCTGTCAAGTCCTGAGGAGACATGCGCTCAAAAATAGACTGTATGTCATATTTTTTTAACCAGTATGACCCCAAGCAATGGAGTACATCCAATAAGAAGCAAACGGTTTCAGGGTGTAGAAGAATTAGGAATAGGTCCCATAGTAATGAGTAGAAAGAGACAAGAACATTCAGGAGGTCAGTAGATAGCGATTGGCATTGCGTTTAAACTTTTGCAGATTAAAGTTGGCTGGAAAGCATGGAGCCGGAAGGGAGTTCCATAGACGAGCGCTGCGAGATTGGAATCTGTCAGCATTGAAGTTGCGCCTACATCTAGTGTTATGCAGTGGTTTCAAAGTGGAGGCTTTTATTTGTACTAAATCGGTCCTAAAATAGGTTCGACGTACAAAACGTTAGGAACTTGATATAATAGGTAATGACGCAGTAATCTAGTCGTGGTCGTTGATACTTTAGTATCCGACTAACGGTCGTCCGACATCGACTGACTGACCAACTCTCTCCGACCTGCTACTAGTACTCTTACTGCTCCTACTTATTATAGGTGGGAGAGTCTATTAACAATAGAATAGGTGTGTTTCACTATAACATCTAGCTAGCCTGCTCAACTGTAAATTGGTGCAATCTAGCCGCCAGTCTAGTATTCTGCTTAAATTCATAGTCTAGATACCATAGCAAAGATCTCATCCGAACAATTACCATGAAAGTATTTATAAAAAGGGCACAGAGAGGCAAACTTATGGCGGTGGGCAAATGACTTACGCCGAGCCACCAGATCAGGATCAATAATATTGCTGATTCTTCTTTGGATCTTATCTAGGAGCTCCAGGTAAACAGCAGGGACACTGGACTATATATGACAGCAATATTCTCTGATAGGATGACAGTGATGAGATTACTCGATGACATTTCAAAATGGGGAGAAATTAAAGTTGAAATCCCAAGGGGAAAAATATCAGATTAATTTTATGCTTTTCAGCAAATGATCCAACGAAAGTGGGAGAGTTTTCTGTTCTTTCTTTATTTCTTTATTTCTTTCTTTCTTTCTTTTCTGTTTCCCTTTCCCTTCGGTTTTCTTTCTGTCTTTCTTTTCTGTTTGTCCTTTCCTTTCTCTTTTTCTTCTTTTTTCTGTCTCGCTTTTATGTTCTTTCTTTCTTTCTTTCTTTCTTTCTTTCTTTTGGCATAAAGCATAGAAAAATAGAATTTATTAATTAACCTTTACGTTTTCTATTCTTTCTTTTTTACTTTCTTTTTCTCTTTCTTTTTTTCTTTTTCCTTTGCCATAGAGCATAGAAAATACAATTTATTGATTAAGAATTGATAAAAAATGTTCATCTTATATTTTAATGAAGTACTGTTCGAAAGAGGCTTAAATAGATAACCAACAAAAAGAAGCCATCTTTCTGACTTTCATTTTTTTATCGTCTTTCATTGTTTTCGAACTAAACGCAGGACAAACGGAACGACTATTTTACGCATGCGTGCATTTCAGAGGCAGACGAACATGCATAAAACCGACGAAAAAAAAACAACCTACTTCATAATCCGCTTTAATTCTTGATAAACATGAAACATTCAGAGATTAAGCATATTTCTTTTTTCGAAAAGGTCAAAATAATGAGACAAATTGAATCAACCCGTACATTTCTTACTGGTCTCAGCCAGTGTAGCTAAGTGGTTAGAGTATCGGATTCCTTGATGCATATCGAAGCTTTCATTCCCAATTTAAGACCAACAGAGTCTTGAGGGAAAGTGGTTAGAATATCATATTCCTTGATATATATCAAAGTTTCCATTCACAATTTGAGACCAACAGAGTCTTAAGGAAAAGTGGTTAAAGTATCAGATTCCGTGATTCACACCGAAGATTCCATTCCCAATTTAAGTCCAACAGAATTTTGAGGGAAAGTTGTTAGAGGATCAGATTCCGTGATTCACATCGAAGCTTCCATTCCCATTTTAAGACCAACAGTCTTGAAAGTGCAACACTGAATTCCTAAGGAGCATTGCCATAGCGAACGATGTCAAATGTTAAGCAATCATATATGAGTCCATCTGTATGAGAATGGATGCTGGACAATCGCATCATAGATGAAAAAGAGACTTGAAGCAACAGAAATGAGGTTCTACAGAATGATGATGAGAATACCATAGACCAAACATGTGAACAATGAGGAAGCTTTAAAGAAAATTGGAAGAAAATAGGAAGAGATTAGGAAGAGACAGTTGCAATTTCTAGAGCACATATTAAGGAAAGAAGGCTTGGAAAATTTTATACACATAGACAGATTGAAGACAGAGGAAAATAACGAATAACTTACCTAGAGAGCATGAGCAAATGAATGAATGAGGTTTTAGGAGATATAAGAACTACAAAGGACAGGAAATTGTGGAGGACCATGAACGCCTACGCTAATAAAAACACAATATTAGTCTCTCTTATATAACATTTTATTTTATTCAACTACGGACTTCGTCAATCACAGTCAGCCATTGAGTATTCTCTGGATTCTGCAACGTGACAGGACGTGAGAGACTCCCTTCTTTTCCTGGCAGTCTGTTTATATATCTACTTGTCATAGTTTGTTATTTTTTTGTTTTTTTCTCCGCACATAGGAAACGCATCGAGGTCTACCTTTGAATTACATGTCAGGAAAAACGCTGACATTTGGTAATGAGCAGATCCTTAATTCGTGCCTAGAAGAACACCTTTCATATTTAACTACTGATCCAGTTGGCTTCTATTAGATTTTGTAAATGAAGAAAGCAAAGAATATCAAATGGGGTTCCCTCTTTGTAGTCCTAAACTGAATGGACTGGCTTGCAGGCAAAACGGTTCCTCTGTTATGGGCCTTGGGCAGCTTCCTCCAGTCAGCTTAATTCGAAAAAGCAAAAAAAAATCATAATTGCTAAACAACTCCGGTCTCTGGGTGAAGTATTTTGGTCGAGTCTAATCAGAGATAAATAAAAAAAAAATACCGTCCCCAATACATTGAGCTGTCATTTAAAAGCTTACTTTTCCATTCCTAGCTCGTTTAGTGAGCATCATCATATATCGTTACCATCCCTGTTTTTAAGAAGGAAACGTAACGATATATGATGATGCTCACTAAACGACCTAAACACCTTTGAACGAAGGTTAAAAAGTTCGTCACGCTTGTTTATTCAAGAAGATTGTTTGATTCGCAGTAGAAGATTATTTTAATGTGCCCTTCTGCCAGACTTAAGAAATAAACTCAAGCTAAAAAGCATTGTTCACGACTTGTGATCTGGCATTTTGCCACATTGTTTTTTGTATGAATAAACTCAATCACGTTTTGTTTTTTTTAGTGTGAGATAAAGAGAGAGAAAAAACAGTCACTTCAAGCCGTGTCGAAAATTAAAAAAGTTGAGTAGAAAAGTTAATACATTATCCAATTTGTAATCATTTTTTGAAAAAAAAATACCACGTCCCTTCAAGATATAGACGATAATGTGAGTATATCGATTTCATTTCTTTATTATCTGTAATTTCACTTGTCATCTTGGGATAGATAATGACGTAGTTTTACGTTGTCTTCTTCACGGTTTTATATTTGATGTAAATTCATGCTTGTCCTGTCAGAATGTCTGTTATCCAAGGCTTGAGAGTACATTCTAATATGCTATGTAACCAATGTTAAGTGGTGGTAAGAAAAAAAATTGAT